GAAGGCAACCCTATAATGGAGACGTCTTCTTACATGTGTCTCGGGCGTTTGATGAATATGGAGAACGACTCGAGGAGAGGACTCAACAGGAGAAGAAGAGCAGCCTAGGCCGCCATTGAGCTTTTGAAGGAAGCCACCGACCAACTGACGGACCTGGAGCTTCGTGCCCACTTGTTGGACTCAGGCATTCTTCCCGCGTTCTGTTACGCAGCTGAGACTTGGGCCGACACTAGCCACGTCAAAAGCTTTGCGGATCACCCACAGAGCACTTGAGCGCAGTCTTCTGAAAATGGGCCGACACAAGCAGCATTTTGTCGGACTTCGCAGTACGGATATGAGGAGAATGTCCCGTCTTCTGACCCAGCGGATTACGTTGCGAAAGCAAAACATCGATGGGCCGGTCGGATTATGAGAAAAATGTGACGACAGATGGACACTGAACATCGGTGTGGATGCCTCGTGAAGCGAGACGTCCCCGAAGAAGACCTCCACCGAAAAGGGCAGACGTGATGGAGCGGATGGACAGCCGCAAAATCCATCCATCCGTCCGTTCTACGAACACGACTGGACACGACTTCCGCCCCTAGCACTCGTGGACGCTGCCGTCGACGATAACCACGAATATCGTGGATGTCTGAAGCGAGGGACAAGGGCCAGGAAACTTCTCTACTGGGGCCCGCACATCACGAATGGGCCATCTAAGCATCTAAGAATTCGTGGCTAGATCGCGCAGTAGATCCGCTCACAAAAGGGAGGTCGCCAAAAGGTATGCTCTGCATACCCGCTTTTATCGCAACTTTCGGGTTAATCGCGATATTGAAAATAAGGAGGGAGATTTATTATATCCCGCAAATTCCGATTTACTCTCAATTTCATATGTACGCAGCCAAATCAAGCGAGGCAAATCGCGCAATGAACTACTTATTTATTTGGCGTCATTTTCTTCAGGGTGCATTTGATTGCTTTCTTCGCATTTTCTTTGATAGTGTTGGTAAATGATGGCTTTTCCAAAATTCATCTTGTTTTTAAAGCTTCTCTACAAATGAAATTCTTGAAGTTACTGCTGTGCTTTCGTAATTTACTGTTGACTTTTCAGCGCGACGCACAAGAAGTGAGCTAGGTTACCACTTCGCCGTCAATTCCACACCGTATTTGGACTAAAGCGAGCTATCGAGGCTCGCATCAGTTCATACTTCTCACGCATCATTTTTGGTTTTTTAGCAAAGCGAGCAGCACTCTTATTTCAGCTTATGGGCTATCCAATTTAAATAAGCATCATTTTTGTCTCTGAATATTCTTTCCTCGTGATTTCTAGCTAGTGTTCCTTTACCTTGGGTAGCAGGTAGTTCAATAAGCACTCCTTCGCTACTCGCCTCTCCTTCACCATGGGAATTCTCTTCTGTTCTGAAGATAGAATCGAGTTGTATTTTTACTGGTGGAAAATTACGCAACCATTCTAGTGATAACAAGCTGATATTTTTATTTCAGGAAGAAACTTAAATAAAGCCATTTAGAAAAAAGTAATTGTGAAATAAGACTAAATAAAGTGCACTTTTTGTTCTCTTGAGTTATTGCATATGGATCCGTAGCTGTTAACGCAATTGAGTTGCAAGCTCTATTTTTAGGATACTTTTGCCAAGAGGGTGTCAGAAAAAGGATGCACTGGATTAGCAATTAAGTTTAGGATTAGCACATTCACAATTTCTTACTGCAAGTAGGATTGACACCAAATTTGCTTTTACAGGTTCAAAAAAGTTTTCCTAGCTATCGCTAACGGGCTATTATTGCTTTTTAGCGAAATATTAGCACAACTCCATCAAAAGTGCTGCTTACATCAACAGCTTGGGCGTTTATTGACCACAAGTTGTAAATGAACAGTCCAGTTCAGCAAGCTTTCTGTCATGCAAAACCAGCTCATCAACTTTTTGCAGCTGATGTCCAAACATTTGCTGCCACCTCATTGTTTCACTTTAACAATTACCCTTTGATTCGACTGGCTTAGTGGCCGGAAGGGAGGCTTGGTTGCCCTAACTAGCAATAAGGCTAGGTAGCGATCAGAGAGCACGCGCGTGGAAGAGACGCAGATTGCGTCGAGGGCGCGAGCGGCCTTCTAGCCGCTAAGCCTGTTGAACCAAAGGTTCTTTGGTGGACTAGCCACCATATTCTGAGGTTTTGGAATAAACATCTGGCACTCTTAATTCCTAGCTATCGATCCTACTCTAAAATTTTTAGCACTTCTCTCTGGCCGTTTGCCAATTATGGTTACAAGTCACATCTTATGCAGAAATAAGCACTTTCATTACAATTTTATTCGAAGAGGTCCATTTGTAATAATCGTACTCGCACAGTTATCAGAATGATGAGAAGCGGAAAAAACATGTTTTTTCATAAAGCTGGAAGCTTACAACTGCAAGGATCTCGCGGGTAGATCTTATTTCAGTCAGTGTACAAGCTCGTCACAGTAAGGGACATATCGTCAAGTCAGTTGCGACTTAATCTGCGAGCCTGCACACTATGCGCGGAAACAACAACCTTTACTCGTAACTTTACAGTAAAACCTTCTTCGTCGCGACAAATTGTAGGACGGTCTGACAACCATTACGTATCCAATCAAATCAAACCAGCAAGAAAACAAAGCAAAAACATAAACTGAGCAGGTTTAATTTTATAGGCCGTCAAGTAGCGCGCACGAAGTGCAGTACGCATATAAGTTACAAATGACTTGAAAAGAAACAATTCGAAGAAGCTCCCATTTTTAAGTAGCAAACAGCTTGAAACATTCTGGCCCAAAGCAATCAAATCCTGTTTCTGGCCATGGTTGTGTGAAGTTTGTTAATCTCGGGTTTAACGCAGAAAAGCAGAAGTAATTTCAGTGTTAACATCGATGCAGCAAGAAGCTGCAGACAAGCACAATATTACTGTTAACAACTGAGGAAAATTTTGCAGTTGAGAAACAAAATAGGAAACTTACTACGGTGTGAAGCATAATAGCGAGTGAAATCGCATGAGAGCATCCAAGCAACTGTCTTTGGGTATGTATTGATGGCAAACCAGAGTGAGCATTAAACAAATACAACGAACATCTTACCACATAGCGAAATTCAAGCAAAGCTGTACTCTACCGAAAGTACTGAATCCAAAAGGACAGCACAAGGACGTGGAAGCTTGATTGACGCATTCTTGCCCTTCAAGGTTAATCAATTGATACCAATCGACTAGCGCCTCTAGATGTGTTTTCGAAAGCAAACATGGTACAAATACGCACGCTACTTGCGGTGACCATTTTTTCAACAGTGCTCAAGTTCTCAGATTTTATCTTCTACATGTGGTCTCGATAATTTTTTGGCTTTTGCAAGAAAATTGAACACAAACGAGTTGATCAGAGAGCATGTTAGCGAAAGAGTAGCAGAGCTTAGGAAAAGTGGCCGCGCGGGAGCGGAGATGTGGTGCACTCTACATTGCAGTTGGTGAGCCCTTACATCAGATGTGTGCTAAGATTGCAATTTGTCCGAATGAGCATCATTACGAATGGACTCGAGAAAGTTTTTTTTTTTGAAGTACACTTGATTCAGTGAAATTTGTACCTTCGCAAAAGAACAACAAAACGCAACTATGGCTAATTACTTCCTGTTATGTATTGCTCATACCAAAACCACCGGTTTACTTTTGAGTAAAAGAGCCTTGCCCAGCAACGCACGAGAGGACGACTACGATATAAGGAAAACTAGCAAGTCTAGTGAGCGCCCTTGTCACATACTGTGAGTGATGAAAAGAAGGTTGAAATTTTGAAACTGTGTTTGCACATATGGTGAAGAAATGGTGGAACATTACCTTTACACTACTTATCGTTTGAAAATGAAGCATTATCTTTGGAAGCACTACCTATCGTTGAAACGGTGAAACATTATGTGAACACTATGTGACGTAACACTATATACTGTACTAGTTGGCAAACGCTCCGCCCGGGCCTGTCAATTATATATTTGTAATCAGCATGCTCGATTACCTCCCTGTGCCAACTCCCAGCCCTGTAGCTCCAATTTTTCAAAAAAAAATCGATAAAATCGATATCGATCGATAACAAAAAGTAGCCCGTGACACCCGCCCTGCCCCGAAGTGTATGTGTGCCAAGTTTGGTCCCGATCGGTTCAGAAATGGAATTTTCTATTCGGAACATACGTACACACATACAGACAGGCAGACAGACAGACAAACAGACATTCAGCTTTATATATAAGATGTAGCGCTTCCCTAATTTTTGTGCTGATCCTAAAATTTGGTTGCACAACTAGCATAGCACCGTATAATAATATATGACCCACAGCAGAGTGTTTTTGTAGTGATAATGTCACTTTAGTAAAATAGGTGAAGTAGTAACAAGAACTACTTATCGTAACTCTATTAAGAAATTTGATGAGAAAAAAATGCGAACCAAGGGCATAAGCACGCCAGTGCGAAACATGAACTTAGCAGTTTGTACTTGCATTCATTCATTGATAAAGTTTTTTTATTTTATGATCGAAAACCTATAAAGTTATAATCAAATGGCTAACACACACTTCCAATGAATCTAAACCAGAAGTTCTGTTTCTGACAGTTCCTTGAAAATTCACTAGTTCGGCAGCTTGTGACGACAAAATCCTACAAAAGTTGGAGTTTTTTTGGATATGTGGGGGGTAATATTGCGCTCAACAACAATACAGTGCTCTGCTCTATAGGCTCTTTGACAGAGTGAAAGGGCACATTTTTTGTTGGAGAAGGTTTTATTCCTAAAAAATCATTTCCTTCCGTCGTTATATCATATCTAGGATTTTCTTTGGCCTACTGAACGCATAATCATATTTGAGTACGTGCGTTTCAGATTTGCTGAATTTATGGATACCAATTAGATTCTAAACTCCCATAACCGTTTATCCAAAAAAGTAAATTATTACCAGATAAAGGTTCTTACTTTGTTCGTATAATCTTATGTATAAAAGCGGTCATGCATAAACAAACAGCAAACACCAGTAATACGCACATACATAATCATGAAATTCTACCTGGTAATCCTAGGGGTAAGGTTTAATTCGATTTGCATCTAATATCTTCACGAAAACTGCTTTAGGTGACACTACTCACGCTCGTTTATTGCCAAGGTAAGTAAATATAGCGGTGAACCACATGAATAAATGTTATGTTGAAATCATTTTCTGCAGACCAGATTATCAGAAGTCGAACATTTTATATGAAAGTAAAATTTACCACTCTTCAAGGAGCATGACTACACTTGAGTAGTTTTTCAGAACTCATAGGCAACAAAATCAATGCACAGTGGTTTACATATTTCAAACTGAACAACTTTATTACTCCTATCTTTACAAAAGATATGATCTATTTTCGAATTCAGATTTTGGAGTATTAGAAGAAGCAGACGTTTTCGCAGACGCCTCAGCCGATGAAACCTTAGCTGAAACTACAGCTGCGGCTGAATCGACGGCAGCAGAAACGATAGCTGAAACTGGCGAAACCACCGCTGAACAGACGACGCCGGGAGTGACAGGTTCAGATCGTTCAGCCAAAAACAGCACGGAAAGAAACAGATATTCTAGAAGAAGTAACATCATCAAGTATTGGTATATCGCTCTCACCAAATGCCCAGATACCAGAAACAACACTAGGTGAAGCGCTGAATTTGTTTCAAAGTTGTTGAAAATCTCAAAAGTTCTCTAAAAGTTTAGAAACTAACATATTGTGTCCCGGCAGCATTGGAATGACCGATGAGTTAAGATTGGCTTATCTTGATTTTCACAACGATCGTAGGTACTCCAAAAACATCTTATGACTGTTTTATCAAGGATTCGTGTTTGAATACGTTGAGGAGTTTGCTTGCATTGGGACAAGCAGTCAAAAATGACGAGACAAAAATGCCAGGCGCTAAAAATATGCTGAAGTTGGTAAGTCATAAACATAGAAAGTATGATGGTTGCATGCAATTTTTTTAGGTTTACGATTGTAAACTGGAACGATCGGCGCTGCAGTATGCTGGTCAATGCCCTAAGATTGGATCCGACCCGAGCTCAAGAGGTGAACAGGGAGAGAATTTCTACCAGCTTACCGAAACCGGAGAAGACTTTTTGAAAGCCGTCAATAAGGTAGGATTCGCAACATTTTGCATATGGTCGTACCACTTCTGGAATTGGAACGATAAGATGGTATTCAATTGTAGTCCAGTCGTTCGTGGTACTCAGTTGTTACTGTGTATCCTGGCCTTGGAAAACCCGCAAAGTATCGTGCTAATCACGTGGGAACTCCTCTTACAACATTTACTCAGGTAAGCATACAATCAAAAAATAACGAGGATTACGGACGTTACGTTTAGATGGTGTGGGCTGTGACAAGAAGAATGGGTTGCTCAGTTGTACATTGCCCACCTTTCTTCACTTCTGTTTGTCGATATACTCCGGCGTAAGTTTGTCTGTAGCACGTATCATTTGTTACAAATTTATACTGTTTAAGAGGTAATGTTGTTGGCGAAACCGTTTACGATCCGGGAGAAACCTGCACAGCTTGTCCTTCTGAAACGACCTGCAAGCAGGATATGGGTCTTTGTAGCTGAATGTGACATGAGAATGGCAAATAATTTCTGATTTAAGAATGCCATCAAAACATGAATATTTGAGCAATACATTCGAGAATTTTGTTCTACTCTAGTCTAGTCGAACACATAAAAACTACAGATGTCGTATTATTTTAGTCGTATAAAGGGTTTTCGAGTGTGACTGAGAATGGTCCAGATATGTCTTTTTGCTTTTAACTTTGTTAAATACCAACACTGAGAAATTAGCAACGGTGTGAGTGCGAGCTTGTACTTTTGCCTAAGGCTTTACGTGCGTCATGGGCAGAAGTCAGTCGGATAGGAAGCTTCAGGTTGTTTGTATTGAAGAGGGCAACATATTGGGCTATCCCAAAACTTTTGTCACTTTGAAAGACTACGAAGCGTTTAAAAATGCTTTCAATGGAACCCCTTCCCTTCTCCTTCTGATGGTCAATTTTTTGGATTTTTTCCATCCAGGATCGTCTCAGAAGAAGACTAGGTATAGTATAGATAGAGCTTTGAACTACGCGTTAGTGCGATTAGTCATAAAACATTACAACAAACATAACTGTAGCAAGAACATGAAAGCTTCCAAATTTTTTGGAAGTTGAGCTTGTTTGTTATTAAACAAAACTGTGCGAATTAAGAAATGATTTGCTTGAAATGTTTTTTGGAGTTTTCGGTAAGCCTGTGCGTTATTTGTGCTCAGACAGCCGGGACTTTTACCAAATAAACAATTATTACAGACTACTACATACTTGACCTAGGCAACCAAAATGAGTAAAAGTATTCATAGGTTTACACTACAAAAGAGCTACCAACGTCCTTCTGCAATGCGACTAAAATTTTCATGAATCGGGGAAAATTTGGGTCCCTATCAGGTTGCTCAAAGAGCCGTGACGATAACATCTCAAAGTTTGCATGGATCAGAGAGAATCTGTGAGAGAAAAATCTGAACCTAATAAGTTTCAAGTTACTCAAGTTTTCCGTCTGTCAATGTTAAATGTGTTCTGGTGAGCGATCAAAGAAAAGCGAAGAAGACTTTTGGGGCAACCTAATATACAGGGTTGGCCATAAATATAGCGACAAAGTTTTCACCTTATATCTCAGAAAGGAAAAGTGCAAACGAGTCATGAACATAACATTTATTAAGTAACAACTGGTACATTAACAATCATAAGTTACTTCTCGATTCGGGCACCTTTGGCACGGACGATAGGGCGAAGTCGCTTGGGAAAGGCGTCGATGACCGGACGCAGGAGTGCCTCGTCAATTTCGTCCCATTCGCGGATGAGCGCTGCCTTCGAGAATCCAAATTGGGGTGGGGAGTGTCGCAGGCCTTGCTTCCAAGGTAGGACCACAAGTTGTAGTCCAGTGGGTTCAAATCCGGTGACGATGCCGGCCATTCTTCTGCCGGGATGAATTCGGGGAGTTCCCTCTTGCACTACGCTTGGACGACCTTGGCCTTGTGGGCGGGCGTCGAATCTTGCTGGGATGTCCACGGGAGGCCGTTGAAGTGGGAATTCGCCCACGGGAGTAGTGCATCTTCCAAAATCGTCTTCAGGTAGTAGTCTTTGTCGATTTTGACGCCGGGGTCGACGAATGACGGCCGGGACGACCTTCGGACGGCCCCTCGACGACCTTCGGCGTGCGAGCAGTACGAGGTCTTCCACTTCTTCAGCGGTCTTGGAGTCCACCAAGGTCTCGATAACGTTGGAGTGTGCGATACACGACGCTGCGGTGGATGCCGAGGTGCTTACAAGGCGATCGTGGCGGGTGGGCGGCCGGCTTTGCGCAGACGAAGGATAGCGCAACGATCAGGAGAAGGCTTCACCATTTCACTATAAATGGACCAAATTCAACCAAATTTTAACAGGAGTTAGAAAAAATGATGCGATTGAAAAATCGATAAAACTGGCGCGCTATGTGCACGATAGAATAGTACGCTAACTGCAGTAATTATTGTCGCTATAATTATGGCCAACCCTGTAATGACGAGTAAGCACCAAACAAGAAAGTATACCAAGTTGCAATGGCCAAATGTGAAAAAATGTATGCCACCTATAGCCTTCGACTGCTGATCCTAAGTCTAGTCTTTCTTTGGCTGCACGCCCTTCTGAAGAAATTATAAATGCTCAAAACTATAAACTTCTTGGGGCCTTTTCAAACAATCTACATCAATGGTCAGCATGAGCAGGGCTCGGTACGAGATGGCTAGTTGAAAACGTAAAAAACGGAGTCTTCCTTAATTTTTGCGAATTTTACGAAGTCCCTTTCGACCCTAGACCATAAATCCTTTAAAAAATCTTCAAAAACGAAATGTAGACGAAAAAAACCTTCGCAATGTGTCTCTTCGTCCACAGAAACGAAATTCTTTCCCTTTTTGTCCCAAAAACGATATCCAGCTTGCTTATAAGCCAGCTGTACCGAGCCTTGAGCGCGGATTAGACCTGTATATACTGAGTATAAGCACAAGAAAAAGAATACTCTCTAGGAATTTGCACACGCGTTTTTGCGCATCTTTTCACGTTTTTATCTCCTTTGGGCTTTACAAATTCGATTCTCAAGCGCTCATAATTTTGACGATTTATTCAAGCACTGATCATGGGCTGAAGATTTGGATAACAGCTTACCACGCCTTCTTCAGGGCCCAAAAGACTAAACCTATGCGAAGCTGTTCCTTTGAGCGCTTCGTTGCTCCGAAAGATACTATTTCAATATCGAGCGGTTTCAAAGCATAATCAGAAATTATCAATAAGTTGAAGCTTGCTTTTATCGCCAGCGACAAAAGCCTGCGAGCAGGTCATTTGTGTCATGAATAGCCCCGTTACATATATTGCTATACCTACGCACACGAGTCATTCGACAGTGCAAAGCACACTGTACAGGGCTGGTTATTAGAGTCTGCTTAAATCTCATTCTACGTGAAGTTTTGAGCTTAAATCTGATATAGCAGTCAAAAATGACCTTTTGCTGTTACAGATCATATCTCTACCCCAAAAAAAATCTTTAAACATTCCCATTTAGCCCATTTGACGCATCAAACATTTAGTTGTACATTTTCCGCATTTCATGGCCAAAAATAACGAGTAAATGAATGGAGCAGAATGGCAAACTCCGCCCCTAGACGTCTTGAGTGCCTCCCACGTACGTGATCATACAGCTCGTACATACACAAGTACGATCATGTATTTGTACCCTCTGCACCCTCTGGAGAGCCCCCAGTTCTCGACAGATACCTATATTCAGGGTAAAAACGGTAAAAAAGCATCAAACATCCTAATAGAAGGTTTGAAACCCCGTGGCTTCCAAAATCAAAAAACAAACTGCAGGAGCGTCGATTCACGTAGGTTTTACGTGCAAATACATATGAAAGTATCTTCAGGCCAGAAAAGCGAATAGCCGGTATTTTTGAAGGTACGAATAGCTTGACCAGAAGTGACATCTTTTGAACTGTACCTAAACTGAAAAATTTCAGAAGATAGAAAGTGCTTTTATGGAGATGAATTTCAAGTGAACTATAATTTTAGCCAGCCTTCAAGCCCACTTTTCGCAAAACTTGGTTTTTCTGAGAGGAACCAGTCGAAAACGAGGCTCGTTTTGGTGACTCATAGTAAACCAGTAAAAATATAGCTGTAATAGATCTTGCAGCATTCCATTGACAATCGAGTGGTTTACGGCATTTCTTAGGGTAGACCTATAATTTTGGCTATTACAGAAAGGCTTTTGAAACGACTCTACTGCTCGTTGTAAAGCTTGTACTTAGATGTTCAGGCGTAAACTTATCACGCCTTAGTTCAGTATTAACCACGCCATCGATTTTGGTGAAAAAGCTTTGTAGATTAGCCTGTGCTCTCTCTCTCAAAAAAAAATGATAAAGGGATAAAGGGCCGCGTTTTGAGCAAAGTAGCCATGGTCCAAGACCGTTCTTTAATCTTATTTCGATTGACATCAGCTGTTCATCTACCCTTTTTATCCGTTCCTTAGGCCCTGAATTTGAGCTGTCGCTCTTTTTGTCAGTGACATAACGTCAATTTGCATGTCCTCCAAATTACAAATAACTTGCGTGGTTTTTGTCTGATTCTCCGTTTTTGCTTACTGATTCCGTAAACTCAACTAAAAATGTACATTGCACTTACAGAAGAGAGATGAGACCAAATCAGCGCCTGATTGGACGCTCACCTGTCAGGTTGCGTTGTATTCTTAGGCTCCCGCCAGAGTGCCGAAGCCATGCCAGCGTTTCGATCGATACACGTGTATTTCGTTGGGGCGGGGCTAGCTGACCTAGTTCTCAGCAGGTAGATGTCCCAAACGAAATACACGTGTATCTTTAGGGTCACTAATTCAGATTACTCAAGCTGACTGAGTTTCTCTACGGACCTATGTCAATTACGAATGACTTTTTGCCATTCGTAACGTAATGTGAGTTCAAGAATGCCACCGATTAGTTAAAATATGGTAAAGACTATTCCTTAAAGTAACAGTGACATCGATTGGCGACCGCTTTCACCATCTGCGCGCCGACGGTGGATAAAATAGTTCGTCTTCCACGTCAACTAATTTTTTGTTTGTAGCATTCTGGGGCAACATCGAGTCTGGCTAGAGATGGAGGAGGTTATTGGCTAGGCAGGTATCGAATTATAAACCTTTCACCACTTCAGCCTCTGAAAAAGACGAATAGTTCAAAACGTTAGGCTGCCAATTGAAGGCAGTGTCCCGGCAGATTTTGCATTTCCATCTTTTTGCATGTTTTGGGCCTTTTCGACCCGCAGACTCGGAATTTGAGCCTTGAAACGGGTGAAAAGACCTTTTTCGGGACGTTTACTCCATTTCCAAAAAGTAGCTCGAACGAGAGTTTCATCGGAAAGTTGGAAAGCCTTGGCAAGAAGGCCGTGGTGCCTTTAATTTTAGTTTGGACAGCATGCATAATGCGAGGGAGCGGTCGTGGGGTCCCGCGCTGAACGGTAAGAGAAGTCGTCCGAGCGCGCGCCGATTCAAGGGCTATTTTCTCGGACTAGGGGGAACATCAACCACCCGGACTGCGCCTGGAGGTCAGCGGGACCAGGAACCCCACTACAGAAACATCCCCCATGGCGCGAATCTGCCGGGACACTGCCTTTAATAAGCTAATACGATTGGCTGACCAGGCGCTGTTTAGCTGACGTTTATTGTATTTCAGTATCAAATGTGCTCGTGCTATGGTAGATATGGTCTTTATGCGAGATTATGAATTTCGCTTTATGTTCTGCGAATCTTATAACGAACAGACACATGAACGCACACAAAAAACGATACTGACAACCTCAACCCCCGATTTTTTGAGAATACCTCTCCACGAATGATTCGTTCAGGTCCCGCAACTAGAAGAAGATTGGGCTAGAGGGTTGCGAGATCCTAAGTATCGTCGATATGTTGACCGCATGGACTGCTCAAAAGCCCCGGATCTTGCGCGGCATGGCTGAATTGCCTCGAGAGCAGACTTGTACGATGGCGAATTTGTACTGGAGCAAGCCTTTGCGGCCCGTAATCCGCAATGATGTTCTGTCCGTGCGGTCAGCGAATCAACAATATTTTTGCCGAACAGCAGCGGCGTAGCGAGTGCCCCTCCCCCCCACGAGAATTGGTCGCGGAATTTTTGAATGTTGCTTACATGAGTTATAAAATTGTGCGAATGATTTGTTCATACTTGTAAATAATTTTAAAAATTTTAATTTTTTAAAAATGTATTTCAACCTTATAAAAAAATTTCGTGCGTGCGTGACTGACGCCTGTTATCCAACTTGTCAAAATTCAAAGCCAAATAGATAGCGCTCGAGACAAAATGAAATATTTTTGAAAACACGTATGGCAAATACGTGTCAAGCAGTGGTATCAACGCAGAGTACTATTATTAAATTTCCGATGTGACACAAAATCAACCGCGTCTAGAATGAGTTTCGAAACCACACGTGAGAATGAGAATGTGGCTAACGCTATATCTGATGTATACCTTATTATGTGTTTTAATGGATAATGAAATTTTATGGTTTTTTCTAAATGAAAGGTTAAATTTGTCACAAATGTCAGATACGCGGCAGGCATTTCACCTCCTGGTTTGATGGACCTTCCTTGATAAAAGGGATGGTTATCTGTAGAGTATGCGCAATTATGCCCAAACGCTGCTCGATTATATTGTTGGTAATGCTTATTTCTCATCTTTCAAGTTGAGGAACTACCGATACCTAAAACTCAATTTTTAGGTAGCTATCCTGTTGCCAGCAGTTTGTAATGGTGGGTTTGATCTAAACAGATACTTTCTATAGTGGCTAAGATGTTCAGCTGCCACACAGTGTACGAATAATGCAATGGAAAGTGACAATGCTACAGCCGTACTCAATCTAGTAAACGCTGCCAGAGAGAAGTTGGCTGGAGGTAGCCAAAACAATGGAAAAGATAAAGATCCTCTGCCAAAAGCAGGAGATATCAATAAACTGGTAAGGAGGAGGTAGCAAATTATTTTGGACTGAAAGATGGTCAAGCTATGCTGAATTGACTGCAAATTTCTTTTAAACAGGGTAAGGTAATCCTTAAGTCCACTTTCAAACCCATCGAATGGTAAATTTTACCGATTTTACCACTTTACTTTGTCAGAAAAACTTATGAACAAAACAAACTATTATACAGGTTGCTCCAACAAATGTGCCTACTTTTTGATTGTTAATTAGTCTACTGTATGGAGCGATTTATCAATCCGTCTTCATTATTGTACGAATACGATAGGAACGCGCAGCATATGCCGCCACTGTGGGTTAGACAGTTCGAAAAAATCAATAAAATATTGCAACTTGTATTGAGGGTTCTTATGCACGCTGACTTCACTACATAATTTTTCGCTCGTTTGCGGAGTTTTTTGAATGGCCTAATGGAATTTCTGACGAATTTAATTGGTTGTTACGGCATATACGGCATATCTGGCTCAAATCATGAGAAAAGCATTACGATGAAGTGCGAGTTTTAGTGTAGAGGTCGTCATTTTTTCTTTTTGAAGGCAGTAGCCCGGGAAAATTGCGACTGTGAGCTTTCCACACCTACATACGCTGAAATCAGTGTTGTGCTTGAAATGTCAAAAAAGTGCTTTCTACGTCGTTTTACCATCCTGGAGATAGCTGGAGGACTGCAGGAGAGTAACTCCACCCATTTTGGCGGTAATTGGTTGATTGACTCAGGCAGCCAATTGCGATCTTGGCGGGAATCCCTCGCCCATCCCTTCCAGCTATCTCCACAGTAGGAAAAGCACTTTTTAACTTTTTTAAGCACAACACTAGATTCAGCGCAGTCAGAAGGCCATGCAAGTGAGGAAAGCTCGCAGTGGTTTTTCCAGACCACTGCCTTTAAGGATAATAGCCTTGGCCCTCAATGGCGCACAAATTTTTCCAGTTTCTACCGTAGTCCTACGGGTACTGAAAGAAGAACGGAAATTGGCTTCACCTAACTGACAAATCTAAGTTGAAGCCAGCTCTACAAAATAGCACCTAAAGCTCCTCGAAATATTTTGTGGCAAGAGAGTTATTAACAATTAAACAGTTGGCACACTTTTTGGGACAGGCACTCCTCAAAATCCCTAACAAGACTCATTTACAAGGATGGAAAGCTCATCAGTGTCAAATAAGTCATCCTATCCAAACCTCTTTTACCCATAATTTTGATTTTAAAGGCAGTAGATCGGCAGAATGGACCCTTCTCGAATTTTGGTGAATTTAGGCAGTAGACCCCAAGTACACTGTAGCCTAAACCCCAACTCCCAAATCATGCGCTATGTCCCCAAAAATGCGCTTCAAAACTCCACCAGTCTCGCCCACTTAATGCAAATGGGCGGAAGGTGGTGGAGTTTTGATGCGCTTTGGGGACTTAGCGCATGAATTGGGAGTTGGGGTTTGGGCTACAGTGTACTTAAAGGGTCTACTGCCTAAATCTGCAAAACCGAGAAGGGTCCATTTTGCCAGTCCACTTCCTCTAATGCATTTTAGGAGTGGGACTGTGATCTAGAAGCTAATTTACAAGTTGATATCGACGCTTTCGATTGCAAGGGAAACACTTTCATACCAGCAGTACAAGTCACGACATTTTACGTATATGATAAGTAAGTATCCCAGACGAGCATTAACAAACTGGTTCTTTTCAAAATTTCCAGCCAAGAGTTTTTTGAAGACTTTGAAGATCTTCAAAAATGCTTACCTGCTCCTCAAGTCATAGTGGTAAAAACATAAAAGCTTTTCAGTTCATAAAACAATAGAAACAACTAGTGCACAAATGTTATGCGAAAATTCAGTATATACCACGGTGATTATGATGGTACAAATTATGGAGACACACCCGTGTTGACAAATTTGGTGAAAACTTATCTCGACCAAATCGACAGTGTCGGTTCAGAAGCTTTTGTCGTTGTGGATGAACAGGTCGTAACTTCCAACGACTCGAACATATTTAATGCTGTGGAGCAGTACGCTGAAGTAAGCACTACCTAATTTAACATTTTTTGACTAAATTGAAATTTTAGTTGATGCGAGCGGATGCAACAAAACTTGCTTGCTCTCATAAGCAATGCCCATCTGCAGCCGATAGACCGGAACTGTATGTGTATGTGTGCTGCACTGACAAAGAGTATGCAGGCTTAACACTTTAATTTTTTTTTTCATGAAAGCAAACTCCTCCAGCTCGAAAGTTCTTTTTTAGAAGAATTTTTTCCACCTTTATTGGAGAGAAGAAGGAGGGCGCAAAATATTTTTTTTCCGAATAAGTATGCGTGGCGAGGTGTTCCTCAAACTTCTTAAAACTTCAGCAAGCCTCCAATCCTGAAGCTAACTAGATACACATCAATAGTTTGAAGATAAGACCAAGTAAGAGCAAAGGTTATTTACACAGTTTTGTGACTAATGAAGGGGTCAAATTTTCGATACATTTGCGGGAACAGAGTAGCAAGTCACCTAAAGTGAAGTGAACACTGACTTTCAAGATGCTCGATAAGCCTCTGATCAAAGAGCAATTTGAAGAAAAAAGAGTTTTTCATGTTCTCTTTTACGCATCTGGGAATGCTATTCTCAAAAAATGGTCGAGTCCGTAACATTTTTTCTGATGCTTGAATTTTGACGTATCATGAAAGAAGCCATAAGTATGGTGCAAATGCTATTGAACAAAAAGAGAGTAATAGGTTCAACCATAACCTATTCAAGACTCTTTTTTTACTGATAACGCGAAGAATTGGTGAATTTTTCATATAATTGAAAGAATTTCCTGTACCAAACAGCGACCTGTTCTGCTCAAAAATAACTCTGACGAAAGTGCAAGCTTTAATTAAACAAAACTGCCATTTCGTAACTAACAATGATGTTTCATCTTTGCATTACTGCGGGTGATTTTCGAGACGTTTTGAAAGACTGATTTTGACAGTTGCTCGGCAAAACCGAACACCTCTAAATTTTGATATGGAAGGTTGCTCACTTCCTGAATATGAGAATAGAGTAAGTCCGAGTGCACAACATGCTGCCCTCTGCCTAGAAAACGCCCCTAAACCCGCGCGCAAGCCATTCTTACACGCACTCGGACGAGCTTGAGGTTTTTCTCCCACCGTCAGAGACGGGGTTGGGGACTATATGTCGCCAAAAGTGGGAGGTCCCACCGTGTACGGTCGGTGAGTCAGATGCGTGCGGTGTGTGCGAACTGTGATGGATGCTGCCACGCGGGACTTGCGCACAGCGAGTGCACCTCAAACTTGGGTAATTAAACTTTTATTATTACAAGCAACTAATATACAATGCGACTATGAAAACAACAAACAAGTATGTAAGTTATATACAAGTGATTCAAGAGCCTGTGATGCTGTGAGGGATCTGTGAAAGGGATCCGAGTCCGTGAACTCTGTGAGGTAGTAAAGAAAATGAGAAAAGCGGGTATAATGAATGATACAAAGTTTGACATAAAAGCAAATGAACAGAAAAAGCAAACAAGATGATACACGACATGTACACTAAGTTCTGTCAGCTACTTATATATGTAGGCAAACATAAACACACTCAAAGCAAGCATGGGAAATCTATTGATAAAAGCATCAAAGAATATAAATCTGTGAAACGTTCGAGCCTTGGTCAAAGTTTGCCATCGCGCATTCCTCAGGATCCAAAGAACGGTACGAACGCAAATTCGTATACTCCGACCTCAGGAGACGAGTGGAGCATCACCGTTGATGACGAAGTAGTCGTGGTAGCCATTGTGCCCTTTGGCTACCGTGTCGCTGCTCGTAACTGTGCTTCCTTTTGGTTGATTCTTTCCTTGGTTGGCGTCACAACGAGTGGTTTTGCCATTTGGCTCTTGAACTGTAGGATATTGTCCATTGTTCCTCTCCAGGTGGCTCAACTCCATTCAACGGTCGTCGCAATCCACGTTTATTGGGAGTTACCACTGCAAATATCCTTGGCTTCCGTGGAAGATCGTCGATCTTGATGAATTTTGCGGTCCTCCTTTTACCTGCGTTCGTAACTGGTACCGCTCTCGTGGGCACCGTCAAGGTTTCGACATCTTCCATTTGTGTGAGCGTCATCCTGGTTCCGTAGAAAGCCATGGCTAGCACTCCGAGCGCGTAGTACAACGTTTTCCTGATGCAGCGAGTAATCCTCTCGTAAAACGCACCCTGCCACGGTGCGCAAAGAGGAGTCTAACACCATCCTTTTCGCCGTGCTACTTCGCTTTGAAATTGTGTGCTGTGTACCATGTTTCCTGTGGCGTTTCCGGAGATTTGCTCACTCGACAAAACCTTTGGTTCTTTGTCCGTGGTGATAGTCCGCGTTACTCCTTTTCTTGCATGAAATCTCCGAACCTCTGTGCTATTCATTAGTCGTTTCTGGATTTGCCTCTGTCCGCTGCTCTGTTTCCCGTCAAAACTACTGTGTCCCACATTGCTGTGCTTTGCTCGTTTCGCATTGCGTGTAGAATGATACGAATGGAGTTCGTATACTCCCACCTCACCGAGAAGATTGCGACTGAGACGTTTTGGTTTTGTTTTGTCTCCTTTAAGTGTCGATGTGATGCTTCTCCAGCTGATGCTTTCCTTTTGAGGTTCCATTCCGGTTGCGAATCCTCCGAGGTGTTCACTTTGCTTCTTGAAGTTTCGCTTTCTCTTTTTCTCTTCCTTCTTCGACGTTTGTCTTGTACGAGCCACTTCCTCTTGTGCCTTCTTGTGTTCCTGGTGAAAATTTTGTCGGCTAGCATCACTCCCGCTTCTCCTGTCTCGTGTCAAAACGGTATCGTAGCGCTGGCACATACTGTAGACCCACTCTCGCAATTCCTGGTACTGCTGTTCAACCTCCTTCTTAAAGTCCATAAAGTCCTCCTGCAGTCTGTGGACCGTTCCTCCTCCAGTGTCTTTGCTCGTTTCGGTATCACAAGAGGGAGAAGCCATTTCTGATCGTACATTAGCAGGCTTTACGGGTGCCTCTGTGGATGTGAGGCTGACTGATGGGTGCGTATCCATATCGGGGCCTATACTGATGAACGAGAACTTCTCCTTTCTTAAAGCTGCTGACTGTGCCTTTACTGCTTTCATAGCTTCGTTTTTAGAGGAGAAGACCGATGCGATGGTAGTAGGCACCTTTTTCTTGAGCTGTACAACTGCCGGGGTTGCACTCTTCGTTGCTCCGCATGTCAGTATAGGAGTTTCTTCTCCAATCACTCCAGTTGCGTCCTTTACCATATTTGCTGCCGTTACCGGCTGGTTTTGCGTTTCCGCTGCTTCTGTGTAACTTTGACTTTCGGGTGAAATTTTGATCCACTTTCCTGATTTTTGTGGAGTATTCTCCATGCAGATAGCCGTGTGGTGCTTTTTGTGGCACTTTCTGCAACTGCCGCTAGGGCATGAAACAACTCTATGGTTTTTCGACCCACAGTTGAGGCATCTGTTGGCTTCTAACAGAAATCTTCTCTTTTGTATTGCTGTGGGTATTTGCGGGCAGGTCGTCCATCTGTGCCCTATATCTCCACAGCATTCGCATAGGGTTCCGCGCTTCCAGTTCTCCTCCAGATCTGGAAGTGTTTTGGTGCTTATTGTGTTGTGCAACGGAGGACCTGTGAATTGACCGTCGACTGAGAGCATATGGTTCAGCTGTTCTTCCTGTGAAATGACGTTGTCGACGGCATCAAGCCATTGGTTCAAGGTCCACTCGGACTGGTGCTCTTCTTGATGTCGTATTCTTTTTTCCATGGCAGCTTTTCTTATGCGTGCATGGAATTTTTGCACAAAAATTTGTACTGTTAGTTGATTGTTGAGCTGCTCCTCATGCTCCTCTAACTGTGCTGCAATCGTTGACAGCTTGTTCCACAACTGTCCTTGTTCCGTCGTAGTTGGTCCCCTTGCTACGCAGTTGTGTAGGCTTTTATTTAATTCCAAGACTATGCCATCTTTATTGCCATACCTCTTGACAAGGTGTTGGATGGCCTTCTCGTAATTATTTGCTGAGACGAAAAACCGTGAAATTGATTGTTTCGCTTCCCCACTCAGGGATGCCAGCAAATAATTGAATTTTTGCAGCTGTGTTAGATTCTGGTCGTAGACATTGGCTTTGTATATGGCCCAGAAGTTATCCCATTCCCACTTCTTCCCTGTGAATGTTGGGATAGGGATAATCGGAAGTCTATTGACTGCAGCTAGGCTAATAGTGCCGTCTGTGTCAATCCCGATATTATCCTCCTGGGCTTCTTCTAGCCGTGTCCTGTGCTCGTGTAGCTTCATTATTGTTGCCTGGGTCTTCTCTATGTACTTGTCCAGGTGGTCCTCCTCCTCTTCTGTGGTCTCTGGAGCTTCATCAAAAGCCTTAGTTAGCTTTGTCAATGACGTTTCGAGGAGCTCGATATACCTTTCACAGGTTTTTATCCTCCTTGCGCTTTCCTTGGCATGTATATCCGTGAGCGCTTGCGTGGAGTCCTGCAGCCAATTCATCGCTGCATCATTTCTTTTCGCGACGAGTCCTTTAAGGCATCTTACTGTGCTGGCCATGGTTAGTTGAGTTAGTTCTGTGAGATACACTGACTCGTTGTGCGGCAACTGTGACTCTTACTGTGAGGGACCTGTGAGGTGACTGTGACTCGCTGTGCAACAGCCGTGCCAAACCCTGTGAGGTGCCGTGAGTAACGTGCAAATTGTTAGTCGGAAGCGTTACTCGTATGCAATAAATCGTACCTCCGTTTGGCCGATGCACCACTTGTACGGTCGGTGAGTCAGATGCGTGCGGTGTGTGCGAACTGTGATGGATGCTGCCACGCGGGACTTACGCACAGCGAGTGCACCTCAAACTTGGGTAATTAAACTTTTATTATTACAAGCAACTAATACTACAATGCGACTATGAAAACAACAAACAAGTATGTAAGTTATATACAAGTGATTCAAGAGCCTGTGATGCTGTGAGGGATCTGTGAAAGGGATCCGAGTCCGCGAACTCTGTGAGGTAGTAAAGAAAATGAGAAAAGCGGGTATAATGAATGATACAAAGTTTGACATAAAAGCAAATGAACAGAAAAAGCAGACAAGATGATACACGACATGTACACTAAGTTCTGTCAGCTACTTATATATGTAGGCAAACATAAACACACTCAAAGCAAGCATGGGAAATCTATTGATAAAAGAATCAAAGAATATAAATCTGTGAAACGTTCGAGCCTTGGTCAAAGTTTGCCATCGCGCATTCCTCAGGATCCAAAGAACAGTACGAACCAAGTTCGTATACACCGAACATCTGCGACAAATACACCTTTCAGTACATGTACAGGCTGGGTGTCTGCTGCAGTATCCGCGCGAGACCCTCCCGTTTTCGGCGACATATGGTCTTCTACCCTCAGAGATGGCATGCCGCAATGTTTTGAGTATGAGGGTCCCAGCGACTCTACGTCTCTGATCATGGCGGGGAGTGTTCATTCATCCAAATTCAAAATAAGAGTTTTGCAAAGTGCTGGTTTTTGCCATTTTCACGCTCTCCAAAGTGTATTTTCGAAAACAGCGTCGAATTACCTCAGGTAAGCGAAAGAACTTTAGATCGAGGATTTGTCGAGTCACTGCCCTCAAACCCAAACATTCATGACATCTCTGTTCTCATTACAACAATTTCCGTTTGCTTCGCACATAAAGGATGTGAACTGGCCATTTATTGACCAAGATCTGATTGGCATATAATTGCTAATGTTAGAGTTTTGCGACTATTTTTAGAGAAATCAAAGAGAAATGTGCGAAAAGCGGGACTAGTGGCCCATACCCATATATGACTATAAACGCTATCATTTTAGGGCATTCAAGGAAGGCGAATACAATGTGCTCTACAATATTTACCAGTCCACCACAAGTACGACAACGACCACTACCACTAGTACTCTGCGTTGATACCACTGCTT